AAATCCGATTACACTTATCACACAAATTTAATAAAATTCTACCTTCTGCTAATTTATTATATTGAACATTTTCTCTCCTTTAAATCAATTTCAATTTTCTTTTCGCCAAATGTCTTCATCCCTTCTATCAACTCCACCGTTCCTCTTCAAAATTAATTAAAAAGAACCAAGGTCTCTCGTTGGTGATAATGGCCGAAAGTGAGTGACATTTAAATTTCACTTACCCCATAGAGCTGTGAGAAGCTTGGCTTGCGTTAAAATGAGGTAGAGTCCGTAAAGCCAGCCCGCGTGAATGAAAATTTGCGCAAGAAGGTCTGGCCAAGCAATACGGGGAACGTATTCCGCCATGCTGCTTCTGTAGCTCTCGTCTGCTGCCAAAAAATCCTCCGTCTCTGCTAATCTATCATTCTTCGTCTCGTTCTCCGTGTTTTCCTCCTCCAACTCGGGGTACACTGTCGGTGGTACTCGTTCATTGTCCGGACACATTTTTCCGTCTGTTTTCATCAGTTCGCGTTAAACTTGAAATTTGATCAAAAATGATCTACCTCCAATTTCAGCATTTTAGTATTCTTATTTTATCTCGAAGATTGTAGCAAATTGACGGCACTTGAAGAATTTTTAAAACGGTCTCTGCAACGAAGATCGAATGCATATCAATAAAATATTTTATTCGAGCTTGAAATAGATTCTTTTTTGTTTTTCTTTGAATATTTATGATTATCCATTTGACCGAATCACAAGATCTACGTTTGCAAGATTCGACGGTTTAGTTTATGAATGATAGATTTCTTTTCTTTTCTTTTTCGTGTAATATATCATCGACGTGACATACAATACAATATGTTACTTTCGATCGATGTAATTTCGTAGGAAACGGGATTCTATGAACCGATCAATCACTATACGCAACGAGCAGCTGGGAAATGCCGAACCACACGATTTATCTGAACGTTAAAGTGTATGGTCTATCGATTTTAAATACTGTCACCTATGGTATCACGGGAGCCTTGATAAAGTTATCTATTTTCAGATATTCACCACTAGAAGTGGGCAGCTTTCGCGGGCCCCAGATTATGTTCTTTTACTTTGTTGCAAAATTGCGCACTTCACACGCGTGTAATTTTTCAGAATGTTTGTAATAAAGTTAAATCTTGGGGGAAATTGAAAATATTCAGGATAATAAGAAAATGAAAAATATTCAGGACAATAAAGAATCAAAAATTGAAAATATTCAGGATAATCAGAAAGTTAAAGATATTCAGGATAATTAGAAAATTAAAGATATTCAGGATAACAAAGACTCAAAAATTAAAAATATTCAGGATGATAAAGAATCAAAAATTAGAAGTATTCAGAACAGTAAAGAATCAAAAGTTAGAAATATTCAGCATGATAAAAAAATCCAAAATAAGAAACGCTACTTCGAAATATCACAGTGATAAGAATCCTCCGACATTAAGATTTACTGGAATAAGTATGAAAACCAGTATAACGATCGATAATGTGCTGTTCGTGTGACGAGTTTCTCACGTATCTTCAACGATCTTTCCGCTAATGCATGCTCCCCGTATCGCGATTTTTCGACAAAATCCACACCTGGACGAATCATTCGGCGTTACGTTAGCTTATCGATTATATTTCCAGGAACATGACAGCTTGCCATGTTTCCTAGATACAGAAAAATAATCGGAGCACTTGTATAGAAGTTACGTGATTTCGAAGGATAAGAAAAACTTCCACTGTGCCTTTTTATTTTCACTGATTCCACGTGTACGATATTAATCGTTCCAATAATTGATTATCCACGAAACTAAACTAAATCATGTTTCTTCAGATTACAGTAAATTCTCCACAAGTGTCAGGCCAGGGAGGAATCTAAACCTGACAATTGTAGAGTCAGGGACTACGTTTTCGAGCCTCGCGCCCGCCTTTGTAGTTTGCCGAACGTAGACAAGGGCAGCGAATAAAAGATAAGGATGAAACGTGAGTCGAGGCAACCAAGCGATTTAAATACCAACTTTTTTAATTTTACGTTTTTCTGTCCCGAAATTTTTCTTAACATATTGATGAGATTTTTCCGATGAAAATGACTTCAAACACGACATAATTTGAACAACATTTACTTATTAACACGTTCACTGTCTGGCGTGACAGTGAATAAGTAAATGTTGTTCAAATTATATCGTGTTTGATATCATTTTCATCGGAAAAATCTCACCAACGTGTTAAAAAAAATTTCAGATGAAAAAAAGTAAAATTAAAGAAATTATGTTTTTACGACTGGTTACACGCTTGACTGACACAGCGAGCGAGATAACATAGGCGCAGCAATGACGCAGACCTAGGCGTAGGACCATCTATACTGACACTTGTAGAATCCAAACTGACTGACACTTGTAGAATCCAAACTGACTGACACTTGTAGAATCCAAACTGACTGACACTTGTAGAATCCAAACTGACTGACACTTGTAGAGAATTTACCGTATTAAGAACTACATCACGCAAAACGATCGATATTGGTCAGGAAGTAAATCCGGAAAGTTAGCATCCAAGACAAAATTGTCTGTGTACATTGTTACCGTGCCATTAGTACACCCGTGGATCCCAAAACGTAAATGTGTGTTGACTGAATCCATTCTGATTCATCCTAAGACTCGAAATTTTGTCTCCTTCGTTATTTAAAATAACAAATGCCAAGTGTTCGTGATTTCAATTCCTACCACTAATAGCGCAATGATATAATACCAGTCCTGATCGATACAGTAGGATGCTGGTAACGGGGTTCTAGGACCCCGTGGTCGTGTGACAATAGAATACGTTGGATTACTGGTCTACTCTATATCTCGTCTGTGGGAATACACATTTGAAGAACTTTCGTATATACACATGTGAATACCATTGCCTTTTTCCCTACGACTTGTATGAAGTAAGGTGCCGGCCATGTATTGTTGGTTTTGAGGATCACTGTACCTCCCGTGTCTTAAACATACCCTATATTCGTTGGTATTGGAAGGTTTGCTCGATTACAGGGATATTTTCAAACGTTAATAACTAAAAAACAAAACCTTAAACGCAATTTCTTTATTCTTGATTTTGCTTTTATTCTTGCTTCTAGAATCATCCCTTTAATTTCCTGCCTAGAATGGCCGAATACCCTAAATGTATATGGTTGATTTTAGAATAAAAAATGCTATGTCTTTTGTCGTATCGCTCATTTGCTGCAACAATGATATATAACTCATAAATCACGATTTTAGGGACACCGAATTCAAACGTTTTGAAGCATTATAATATTGTAAGAATATTACATTAAAATGCAAAATTTGTATAATATGTGGAACCTATACAAAAGTATTATATTGTAATAATATTCTCATTTAGACACTGTTGATCAGAAATCCACTCTTCAATTAAGAGTTATTTAGTACTATGTTGTTATTGTTAAACAAGGAAGTTCAGTTTCTTCTTTTCTTTCTGAACCATTTTAAATTATGTCACATGAAAACAACGAAGATAAAACAGTTCAAAAAAGTAATTTTAGCAATTTAAATTCAACGCTTTTCAAAATCCACTTATACTTGGGTATATACATAGTTCTTATTAACTAACAAGAGAACATCCTCAAGTGATAGTCGCCGATTTTGATGAAATTTTAGTTAAAAATCAAAATTCTGATTTATCCGTATTTTTGCGTGTGGGTATATAACTTATATACGCAAGTTTACGTGAAAATCGATAAATATTGTACCAGAAATATTAACATAAACATTATAATTTTTATCAACCCTCTATCTCGAATAGTTTTCGAGATATTGAATTAAATATATTTACTACCCCCGGCT